TGTTTATCTGGAAATGCCCTAATTTCACCATCATATTTGAGAGACAGTTTTCCTGGATATGTAATTGTTGGCTGGCAGCTTTTTTCCTTCAAGGCTTTATATATGTCATCCCATTGCCTTCTTGCCTGCATAGTTTCTGCTGAGTAGTCTGAGCTTATTCTTATCGATTCTCCTTTGTAGATGACTTTTCGTTTATCCCTAGCCGCTCTTAAAATTCTCTCTTTATCTTTGGTTTTGGCAAGTTTGATTATAATATGTCTTGGTGACTTTCTTTTGGGATCTACCTTACGTCGGGTTTGGTGAGCATCTTGGATAGATATCTTGTCATCTTTCACCATATCAGGGAAGTTTTCTGCCAACAAATCTTCAACAATTCTCTCTGTATTTTCTGTTATCTCCCCCTGTTCTGGTACTCCAATCACTCGTAGGTTATTCGTCTTGATAGAGTCCCTCATAATTCTTAGGGTTTGTTCATTTTTTAAAAATTGTTTTATCTGATTTTTCCTCAAATAAGTTGTTGTCAAGTGCTTTATCTTTAGTCTCACTAATTCTGACTTCCATTGCCTCAATTCTGCTCCTATGACTTTCTATTGAGTTGTCTAATTCTGCAGTTTTATTGTTAATCTTCTTGATTTCTGTTTGCTATCTCTCTGTGGATTCTTGCAGCCTGTTAAGTTTGTCATTATGCTTTTCTCTAATCTTTTTAATTTCCTCTACTGCATGTTCTGCATCTTCTTAATTTCCTTCCTAATTTCTTGAAGAGTTCTGTATATTAATCTTTTGCATTCTGCCTCTGGTAATTCCAAGAAATTTTCCTCCTTTGGAAAATTTCTAGATTCTTTATTTTGGGAGCTTGCTGAAGCCATCATGGATTACCTCTTTATGTTGTTTGATATTGACTGTTGTCTCTGAGCCATCAATAAGATATTATATTTATTTATTTTATGTTTGATTACTCTGTCCTAGCTTCTTGTTTTGTTTTGATATGCCCAAATAGGCTGCTCGTATGAGCTAGTTTGATTATTGGCACCTTTCTAGGTCTAATGTCCTGTCACTGGGTAGTTAGATCTGTTACTAGGTATGTGAGCTTGGGAGTCCGCCCACTCCTCCTGTATGGATTCAGCTCAGGTGCCCAGGTAGATAGCCATGAAATGTGTGGTGTAGGCTCTCACCTACAGTCCTAGACAGGCATGGGTGATTGGTTTAGGTACAGGCGTCTGGCTGCAGCACGGGGACACACTCTGAGCAAGGCAGGGGACTGATGGCCTCCCCCGAGCGTACAGGAGGACACTGATGTGGGTAGGTGAAGACCCTGCTTAATGGGCAGAGCAGTGTCAAATGTCACGAACCTGCCACTTCATAACTGAAACAGTTCAAGTTAGAGTTCAGGTATATACCCTGTTGTACTGCGGTAATGAAGGCCTAGCTGTTGAAATGGGCCCACGCAAGTCTCTGCAGGGGAAAAGCCACTCAAAGTCCCTGGATCCCTTATGCCTGTGCATAGGCAAAGGACCAGTGCCTACCCTGGGTTCCTGGCTTAGGGGAGCCGGCAGTTTATTTTTTTCTGTTTGTTAATTTGTTCAGTCTCCAAGGCCGAGAGATTGGCTCAGGGTGTATGACGGATCCTACTTCTGGCCCAGGAGACTTGGTGATTGCTGAAGCCAGTCTGGGAGCCACTGCAGAGCAGGGAGCAGGGAGCTAAACGGTGGAGAGGTTTTTCCCTAAGGGGGGTGTTTTTGATCCGCACAGTAGGCCATACGCAAGTACTTATCTTTCGCCAATCTATGGCTGCTTCTCACTGGTTCTGGGTGGTCGAGTAGGCTCTCTGCAGCTGGGTCTCTTCCAGTGTGGAATACGCCTCCCGAGTGCTTTTGCTTGCCTGTCTCACCGCTCACCCATGAGCTGATCAGGCCTGAAGGGCTCAGGTTCTCGCCAGGTCAAGTCTGGCAACTCCTCGCTGCTTCCGAACCGTCTCTCTCTCCCCTCACCACTCAGTCTGGTTCCTCAACTTTGCCTTAGATGTTCAGGGCTACTAGATTGTCATATATAATTGATTCACTTGTTTTTTCGGGTCTTTGTTGTAAAAGGGTCCACTGTAAGTGTCTGACTACTCTGCCATCTTGGCCCCACCTCCAGAGAAATGAGTTTTATTCTTTGCAACTTATATTCTATCTTTTGGCTTGATTTTGTGACTTACTTTTCTTTTTTTTTGATGTGAGAAAACTCAACATCCGCTAAGTGTGGTTAAAGAAAAGGCGGGTACCCTGAATGGCATTGAACTAACTCAGTGACAACTGGCTTAGATTTAATGGCATTAAAAAGTTAATAACGTCTTCAAAATTAAAAACTTTTGTGTATGAAAGGACTCTGTCAACAAAGTGAAAAGACAGCTTATAGATTGGGAGAAAATTTTTGGATCCAGATAGCAAATAAGGGTTTAGTATACCGAATATATAAAGACATCTTATAACTTAACAACAAAAAGACAAATAACACACTCAATCAGTGGGCCAAGGAGTTGAATAGATATTTCAAGAAGATACACAAATGGCCACTAGGCACATGAAAAGATGCTCAAAGTCATTACTAATTAGAGAAATGGAAATCAAAACCACAGTGAGATACCACTTCACCTCACCCCCACTAGAATGGCTATGATTAAAAAAACTGAAAACAATAGATGTTAGTGAGAATGTGGAGAAATAGGAACCCGCATCCATTGCTGGTGGGATTGTAAAATGGTACAGTCACTGTGGAGAACAATCTATTGGTTCCTCAAAAAGTTAAAGAGAGAATTACCATACAATCCAGCAACCACTTATGGTATACACCTAAAAGATCTGAAAGCAGGAACACAAACAGATACATGTAAACCAGTGTTCACTGCCAAACTATTTACAGTAGGCGAAAGATGGAAACAACCTAAATGTCAATCAACAGATGAATGGAAAAACAAAATGCAGTACGTACATACAATCAAATATTACTCAGCCATAAAGAGTAATGAAGTCCTGATATATGCTACAACGTGGATGAATCTTGAAAATATCATGCTGAATGAAATAAGTCAGTACCAAAAGGTCACATATTGTATGATTCCATTTATATGAAATATCTACAATAGGCAAGTCCATACAGACCTAAGATTATTGGTGATTATCAGAAGCAGGCGAGGTGGGGGGGAAGGGGAACTCATTGCTTAGGAGATAGTGAGCTTCTTTCTTTTAAGGGTGTTGGAAAAATTTAGAAATGGTGATAGTTGCACAACCTTATGAACACAGTGTCACTAAATTGTACATGTGAAAAATGCTGAATTGGCAAATGTTTTGTTACATATTTACCACAATAATAATAAGAAGAGTTATTGATATTCTCTAAGTGCATGACTTACTAGATATACACTGGGGAGAATCTGTTTTCTGAGAAGAAAAGTGAAAAATATGAGAACTCAGTTTTCATACACATTTTTGGAAGGCCTGTGTGTTATACTTTCTTTGTATTTTATTGTCTAATACCTTTTAGGCAAAGAGATCAAAAGAGACTGAAGATATACCAAGCGAACCGTCTACCCAGGATTTTGAATACCCAGTGTATGATGACTACAGGGCAGAGGCTTTCTTGCACCAGCAGAAGAGGATGGAATGCTACACCAAGGCAAAAGAAGCTTATCAAATGGGGAGAAAAAATGTTGCCACTTTTTATGCCCAGCAGGTAAAGTATAAAACCATTATTATAGTTTTCTTTGTCACTTACGATGTCTGAATAATCTTGAAGGAGAAAGCACTGTATTGTGACTAGATTAAGTTATCCCGGGAAATGGAGAGATTATTTAAGTGATGTAAATATTCAAATAATAGAAGAAATGTGTAGTTCTGAGAATTTCATCTTCTTTGAAATGCTTGATTTCTGTGGTTATATTTACATTTTTGGCATTGATAAATATTAACATTCTGCTGTCTTTCTTCCAGGAAGGAGGAAAGATAGAATGTTAATATTGACCATCTAAGGATGTGATTACAGGGGACTTACAATTCCTACTATGTTTGAATTTTTAGTAATGCATCACTTTTATAGTCAGAAAAAAGAAATGACATTAATATAATTTTTCAGGGAAGTAACATTTCTACCCAGACTCTTTTTGCATCATATTACAAGAAACTTGCTAATTTACTTTTTACTTTTGTGGTTCCATGTGGCTTACTCTTTCATGAGTAAGCAGAGAATGGTGTCAAACTGTGTATAGCCCTGTGAGACCTAATAGCAAACCTAGGAGTTTTGCTTCAGGAGTAAACTGTAAGATGCTGAAAGGGAGTATCAAGATTAGACCGATGATTATCAAAAGATACACAAATAATAAACCAGTGGATTCTTTCTTGGGATGTGTGGTGTTCCTTTTTTTTTGGTTTAGAAAATGTTAGAAATAATGATTCAGTAGTTTAAGAGGTACACTATTAACTCATTGAAATTCCCCTAAATTTTAGTGCGTTCGTGTATATTGTCCCATTGCATTATTTAAAATTTTATTTTATTTTATTTTTGGTCTTTTTTTTTGGGGCGCTATTAATTTCCTGCTAAGTAGAAAATATTGGAAGTGTCCACTGGTAATATGTTTGTAATTAAAGGGTAGTCTCCATGAGCGGAAGATGAAAGAAGCCAATCACCTTGCTGCTGTGGAGATCTTTGAGAAGGTCAATGCCTCCCTGCTGCCACAGAATGTGTTAGACCTCCACGGGCTGCGTGTGGATGAAGCTATAGCACATTTGATGACAGTTTTACAGCAGAAAACTGAAGGTAGGACTGTGCTAATGACAAATTTCAATAGAAAAGGTGTCTTTGCTTATGCCAGTATAACTTAGAAATTCTGGAGAGTCTGAATGTGCAGCCTAGGGATATCTGTGCCACATTTGTAGACGTTTCTAATAGTCTCATTCTTTAAGAGAACCTTCTTGGGAAAGAATTCTTATTTGCATGACCATTGTCATTCTTCTTTTTTGCTTCCCCATTTTAGTTATTTGTATTCCTCTGTTAAATTTATGAAAAGGAGGGCACTAGTGTAATCTGAGAATCCTCTGTGGCCTGTAAATGGAATCTTTCAGGAATATTATATATCTTTGTTCAAGAGACATTTGTTAGAATTAATAGATATTTATTAAATACCAGTTGCTCCAAATATTTTTTATTGTAAAATATACATATAACAAACTTTTGCCATTACCATTTTTACATGTACAATTCAGTGACATTAATTACATACACTATGTTGTGCAATTTTCATCACTATCAATTTCCAAATTTTTTTGTCACCCTAAACAGAAACTCAGTACCCTCCTTAAGCAATAACTCCCCATTTCCCCACCTCCTACTTGTCCCTGGTAACCACTAATAAACTTCGGTCTCTATGCATTTCCCTATTCTAGATATTTTATATAAGTGGGAATCATATAATATTTGACCTTTTGTATCTGACTTATTTCACTCAGCATAATATTCTCAAGGTTCATCCATGTGATAGGATGTATCATCATTTCTCCTTATGGATGAATAATATTCCCTCGTATGTGTATACCTCATTTTGTGTATCCATTCATCCGCTGATGGACACTTGGGTTGTTTTTATCTTTTGACTATTGTGAATAATGCTGCAGTGAACATTGGTGTACAAGTATCTGAGTACCTGCTTTCAGTTCTTTTGGGTATATACCTAGAAGTGCAATTGCTGGCTCTACACTTAGCTTTTCGAGGAACTGCCAAACTTTTCCATAGCATCTGCACCATTTTATATTCCCATCAATAACGGATGAGGGTTCCAGTTTCTCTATATCTTTGCCAACACTTGTTATTGTCCATTTTTCTGATGATAGCTATCTTGTTGGGTGTGAAGTGTTATCTCATTGTGATTTTGATTTGCATTTCCTTAACAACAAATGACATTGAGCATCTTTTCATGTGGTTATTAGCCAGTTCTGTATCTTCTTTGCAGAAATGTCTATTCAAGTCCTTTGCTCATTTTTTGATTGGTTTGTTTGTCTTTTTGTTGCTGAGTTACAGGAGTTCTTTATACATTCTGGACATTAAACCCTTATCAGATATATGGTTCCCCAGACATTTTTTTTTCCATTCTGTAGGTGTCTCTTTATTTTGCTGATAAAATCCTTTGATGGACAAAGTTTTTAATTTTGGTGAAGTACAAATTTATCTATTCTTTTGTTGTTCATGCTTTTGGTGGTATATCTGAGAATCCATTGTTGAAAACTAGGTCTCAAAGCATTACCTCTATGTTTTTTTCTAAGAGTTTTGTGGTTTTAGCTCTTATATTTAGGTCATTGTTCCATTTTGAGTTAATTATTATTGTTATTATTTTTTATTGTATTTTAGATGAAGGTTTACAAAACAGTTTCTCATTAAACAGTTAGTACACATATTGTTTTATGACAATGGTTAACAACCCCATAATATGTCAACACCATCCCTTCTCAACCTTGGGTTCCCTATTACCAGCTTTCCTGTCCCCTCCTGCCTTCTAGTCCTTGTCCGTGGGCTGTTGTGCCCCATTAGTGTTGCTTTGTTTATGGGGCTATCTAATCTTTGGCTGAACGGTGAACCTCGGGAGTGACTTCATTACTGAGCTAAAGGGTATCCAGGGGTCATACTCTAGGGGTTTCTCCAGTCTCTGTCAGGCCAGTAAGTCTGTTTTTTTTTTTTTTGTGAGTTAGAATTTTGTTCTACATTTTTCTCCAGCTCTGTCCAGGGACCCTCTGTTATGATCCCTGTCAGAGCAGTCAGTGGTGGTAGCTGGGCACCATCTAGTTGTACTGGACTCAGTCTGGTGGAGGCCATGGTACTTATGGTCCATTAGTCCTTTGGACTAATCGTTTCCTTGTATCCTGTTCTCTTCATCCTCTCTTGCTCCCGAAGGGGTGAGACCAGTGGAGTATCTTAGATGGCTGCTTACAGGCTTTTAAGACCCCGGACGCTACTGAGTGAATTTTTGTATATGATGTGAAGTATGAGTACAACTTCATTCTTTTACATCTGGTCCCAGATAATTTACTGAAAAGACTATTCTTTCCTCATTGAATGGACTTAGCATCCTTGTTGAAAATCAATTGACCATGGATATATGGGTTTATTTCTGTACTCTCAATTCTTTTCCTTTGGGTTATATGTCTATCATTATACCAGTACCACACTGTTTTGATTATTGTAGTTTTATAGTACGTTTTGAGATTGGGAAGTGTGAGTGTTTCTATTTTGTACTTATTTTTCAAGATTACTTTAGCTGAGGCTCCTCGCAATTCCATATGAATTTTAGGATTGGTTCTTACATTTCTGCAAAAAAAATAGGTGGTTGGAATTTGATAAGGATTGTGTTGAATGTATAGATCACTTTGTCTAGTATTGACGTCTTAACAATATTAAGTTTTCCAATCTATGAATGTGGAATGTCTGTCCATTTATTTAGGCCCCCTCTAATTTCTTTCAGCAATATTTTATAGTTTTCAGTGTACAAGTCTTTCACCTCTCTGGTTAAATTTATTGCTAGGTATTTTATTCTTTTAGAGGTCATTGTAAATAGAATTTTTTTTTTTTTAAATTTCCTTTTCAGATTGTTCATTACTGGTATATAGAAACCCAGCTGAAATTTGTGCATTGACCTGGTACCCTGAAACTTTGCTGAATTCACTTGTTAGCTTTAGTTGCTTTCTTGTGGATTCTTTGGGATTGTCTATATATAGGATTGTGTCATCTGCAAATAGAGATAGTTTTACTTCATTGGAAAGGAAGAATTTCTTTCTTTTTCTTTGCCTAATTTCTCTGGTTAGGACTTCCAGTACAATAGTGAATAGCAGTGGTAAGACTGGGCATTCTCGTTCCTGATCTTAAGGGTAAAGCTCTCAGTCTTTCTCCACTGAGTGTGATATCAGCTACGGGTTTTTCATAAATGCCCTCTATCATATTGAGAAATTTCTGTTCTGTTCCTAGTTTGTAGAGTGTTCTTATCATGACAGGATGTTGGATTTTGTCAAATGCCTTTTCTGTATCGATTGCAATAATTGTGTTGTTCTTTTCCTTCATTAGTGTATTATATTGATTGATTTTCTAATGTTGAGCCACTCTTGCGTTCCTGGAATAAATCTCACTTGGTCATGGTATATAATCCTTTTAATATGGTATTAGCTTTGGTTTGGTAGAACAGTGAAACTGATGAAAGCTGGAACCTGATGAGACTGCCTTATTTTTCCAGGTCTCACAAGTTTTCTGCCTTTGACAGGGTGTCACTTGTCTATTGCTTGTTTTAGTGGAAAATACTTGAGTTTTCCTTCTGACAGGTTTCTGCCTTACACAGGTTCGAGCTTTCACAGTATTTTGTTGAGGATATTATGTAAGTGTTTAATAAAATACAGTTGATAGGACTTTTCCTCACCAAAGGCAGGATTTCTGAGTGTTAGTAGTATTGTGGTACCCCTTTCTCCCTGTCTTTTTGTATCTTTGACTTTGCAGGTCAGTAGCAAAGGCCATTGCCTGCCTCTTGTCTGAGCTGAATATCATGTACTGCATGTACTATTCAGATATCTTCTTGGTTTAACATCTCATTTTTTTCCATCATCAGATAGTAGCATTTATGAGAAGAGTACAATCTATTTTACTAGAAGTCATCTCCTTTAACTGCTATTAGAATATTTTTGATATGTACACCCATATTCATCACAGCATTATTCACAACAGCAAAAAGATGGCAACAGCCTAAGTGCCCATCAATAGAATGGATAGACAAACTATGGTACATACAATGGAATACTGTACAATGTTAAAAAATAATAATGTATCTGTAAAACATCTCACAACTTAGGTGAACCTGGAGGACATTATGCTGAGTGAAATAAGTTAATCACAAAGGGACAAATATTGTATGAGACTACTATTATAAAAACTCAAGAAAAGATTTATACATAGAAAGAAGCATTCTTTTATGGTCAGTAGGGATGGCGGGGAGGGGGAGGGAAAATCACTAGTAACTAGATAGTAGACATGTTATTAACTTCGGTGAAGGGAAAGGCAACACACAATAAGGGGGATGTGAGCATAACATGACCAAGGTGAAGGAAGACACTGGGCAGAACACCAGTGTAAAAGGAAACAATGGTAAATAGTATTACATACACAATCCTACAATAACAGTAATAACAATAATTTACGAGTAGATACATAGGTAGATATGTAAGCTGAACAGGTGTGGGATGGCGTATGGGAGTACACCCATGAGCATATATTGGTTTGGCAGAGGATATTTCTGCATACATATTTGTATGTGCTGCAAATGTATCAATGTATGTGTTAGAGCACACAGGGGGCAAAGTTATGAAAACTTTTGAGCCATAACCATATACCTTGAGGGCTTAGTACCATAGTCTCGGGACATCTAGGTCAATTGGCATAACATAGTCCATAAAGACAATGTTCTGTATCCTATTTTGGTGAGTAATGTCTAGGGTCTTAAAAGCTTGTGAGTGGTCATTTAAGATATACCTATTGTTCTCTTCCCGTCTGGAGCAAACAAGAGGGAAGAAAATCAAAAGACTCAAGGAAACAATTAGTCCAAAGGACTAATGGACCACGTGAACCACAGCTCCACTAGCCTGAGACCAGAAGAACTAGATGGTGCCCGGCTACCACTACTGACCACTCTGATCGGGATCACAATAGAAGATCCTGGACAGAGTGTGAGAAAAATGTAGAACAAAATTCCAATTCATAAAAAAGACCAGACTTACTAGTCTGATAGAGACTGG